ATGGTAAGTCAGGCACTAAAAGAAGAAGTCGAAGAAATCCACGGATTGCAGACATTTACCTCTGTCCCCAAATACTGACCACACTCCAGTTGCGTAGATACTGCTGCTTAAAACCCTGGATGTACTTGACCATTCTTTCCTAGGCATTTGTCCCCCCAAATTTTCTATTTTGTTTATAGACAGCTCCATATTATAATTATAGAAGAATATGTTGTTATCTATGTGGATGTTAAAGGCAACAGACAACTGAAAAATATGCCACTCTGCTTAGAAATTTATGAGAGACCATATAGTGTCATTTCCACTCACCTAAAATACAGAAACAGCATGCTGTTTTCATATGCTTATAGCTCTGAAGTGGTTGCGGGTCAGCCCTTGGAAAGCAATCAGAGTAATTAGAAGATTTGCTGGGAGTTTTATTTAAATTCTATTTGCACACATTGCAGAAGAGAAATCACCAAATCATTATTCAGAACCGCCCCCCACACCTGTTCTGAGGGGCGGTTCTTTATTGTCAGAAAAGCTTTTGCGATGTAGGCTCAGGCGGAAGCTGCTGGCTGCCTCTGTGCCCTGATAGCTCTTCTCCCCGCAGAGGAAGTGAAACCCCCTGAGGTTTGGTTTCCAGGGGCAGCTTTGCAAATACGTCTCTCTTTCCTCGAAGACAGGCAGCACTTGCAGAGAGGCCGTTAAACAGCCAGAGCAGACATCAAATGGCGAGAAGCAGCACTGTTTTATGTTGCCCAAAGGACTTGATTTGGTGGAGAAAAAAAGTGGACATGGAGCCGGAGCAATTCATCATGGCCAAATGGCCCAGAAATCTATCTTGCTGGAACCCCTACTTGGTCATTGCTGTGAAGTGGCAGAATTTGCTCAGAATCTCTTCTCCTTGCTGGATGACACAGTGATGGACACCAAGCTGAAAATCACTTCCTTGAAGCAAATTTTGGAGAGAGAGCCGTCAGATACTTGTACTCCAGAAATGAAGTGCCTGGGCGAGGCAAAGTGAATATTGCACACACTTGTGTATCCTGGAAAGTAGGGCCTTGTAAGACATTATCCACTTTGGGGCTCATAGCTCAAGGAATCCTAGAATACATGGCTTCAAGAGTCCTTCATTCCTCCTCTTTAACTCCATTTTAAATAAAGTTGTTTCATTTGCCTTAGACTTTTTTTTCTTCAAAGATTGTATTTATTTATGTTTAGAAAGAGGGGAAGGAAGGGAGAAAGAGAGGGAGAGAAATATCGATGTGCAAGAAAAACAACTGGTTGCTTCTCACACACCCCCAACTGAAGACCTGGCCCACAACCCAGGTTTGTGCCCTGACCAGGAATTGAACCAGTGACCTTTTGGCTCAAAGGCTGGCACTCAATCCACTGATCCACACGTGCCAGGGCTGTTTCATTCATTTTAAACACACACAAATGTCTTTTACCATTGAAGACTTTGGAGCAGAAATTCTCCAGGTTCTATTTTAAGACTAGTTGCCATTCATTCATTCCACAAGTATTTATTAAAGTCCTACTATTTGCCTTTCTGAGATGCAGCAGGGAACACGACAACATCCCTGCCTTCACAGAATTTAAATTCCAGTAATGGGACAGATAATAAACACATGGCACATAGCTGTACACACAATATCAGAATGCTGAGGAGGGGCATAAAGCAAGGCAAGGCAGTGGAGAGTAACAAGAGGTGCTCCTTAGGGTCGACCAGGGTGGGGCTCTCTGGGACAGTGACTTCTGAGCAGAGACCTAAAATGAGGGAGCCAGCCAGGCTGACCCCTGGGGGAAGAGCATTCCTGGCAGAAGGGACAGCAAGAGAAAGGGCCCGGAGGAAGACCTCTGCTTGGGGAGCTCAGAGAACATCCAGGGCACACACGTAGCAAGATGCTCATTCTCAGTAAAGGATCTCAGCTTTGATTCCTTCCTTTACTTCATCCATGTGCCTCATCTATCAAATCCTGTCAGCACTCTTCCAAAACCTATTGTGAATGCATCCACATCTTCTCTGTCCTTGTCCACCCTCATCCAAGCCCCTGCCATCTCTTCCTGCCTGGATTACTGTAAGAGTCTTCAACCGACCTCCCATAAATTTCAGTCACATTTCTCCTCTGCTTCAAACTCTTCAAGAACTTTTCATTGCCCTTTGAAAACAGTCTAACCTTCTGACCATGGCCGTCAAGATCTGGCCCTTGCCTGCCTCTCCAGCTGCATCTCCTGACAAGCAGGGATTCAGCCAAATGGGTGATTGTAGTAGTCAGCTTGGGCTGCCGTAATCGAGTAGAACAGACCTGAGAACTGAAACTTACCTTCTCACAGCTCTGGAGGCTGGAAGTCTGAAATCAAGGCATTGGCCAGGTCGGTTCCTCCTGAGGGCCATGAGGGAAGGACCTGTCGCAGGCCTCTCTTCTTGGCCTAAGGATGCAGCAAGGGACAGGAGCTAGGAGAGCCAGGCTCTGCCACTGCCACCTCTGGGTGGCTTTAGCTAAGTCACTTAACCACTCAGGCCTCAACCTCCTCATCTGTAAAGTGGGCTTGAATTAAATGATCTCCTGAAGTCTCTTCAGGCTCTGAATTTCAATTCAGGATGTTCTGTGCATCGTGAAGAAAAATGTTTTCCAGAAGCTGCATTCACTGTTCTAAAACGTATCACCAGGCCTTCAGGAAGCACATCCCCCTAAAGAGCCCCAATGCAAAAATGCCTCAGTGCATCCTCCAACCCAGGGTTTGTGGGCATGCCGCCAGGCAGGAAATGTCTTTGAGTTCTTACTTATTATCGTAAAGGTAATTTTGCATTCTACCCCATAATCTGTCCTTGCTCATGTTAACATAAAAATAGTATTCTAAGTTACTTACCTTAGATGTTCATTGATAAATCTAGACTTGAAGGTTCACAACTTGTCTTTCGATCTTGAACTATAGCCAACCCCTAATCCTGGGTGATTAACAGGAAATGTCTAATTTCTTTTTTGTGGTTTCTGTATTTTTGATTTCTTCTTTTATGAGCGTAGGTTAATCTAACACTAAAGAAAATTAAACAAATTTCTAAAATATGTTAAGTAACAAAATTCTGACCTTCCATGTATAGGCTTTAAGGAGGGAAGGACTTTCCCTGATGAACATGAACCCTGATGGCGTTTCCTTGTTGTGCCCAATCTTATATATATGAGTGTTGATACATAGACATTACATGAGAAATGGGTGCGGTTGATTGAATAAAAGTAATAATAATGACGTTTATGGTGATGACCAGCAGCAACATGGTTTTACCATGTGCTACTGTTCTAAAATCTTTACAGGTATCATTTAATCCTTATAAAACCCTTGGAGACTGGCTTTATTATTATCCTCATTTACAGACAGGGAAGCCAAAACATCGAAAAGTTAAGTGCCTCCTGATGGGAACAGCTTCCCGCCCTATCTTGTGTCTTCTTGGCACAGCTTTTCTATCTGGCGGTTTGCACAGCTGCAGCTTGGCTGTGTCGCATCAGCAGTTCCGTATCGCTTGCTTTTGCACTGTCCTTTCTCTGCCACCCATCTGGCACCTGCACAGATCTCAAAGTGCAAGGACAGCCTCTGGGGCAACCCTTGACTAACAGGAGGGTCCGAGTCAGGGAATAAAACAGTTAACGCTCCCCACCTGTGCGTCGCTTAGGGGCCATCTGGGTTATATCAGACCAGTTGTTAGAGAGAGCCCACAGTCATGTAAATGTTATTACAGCACATTGTTAGAATTGTTCCATTTTTATTATCAGTTATAATTGTTAATCTATTACTGTGCCTAATTTATAAATTAAACATTATCATAAGTATGTATGTTATGTATGCATAGGAAAAAACAGTATATACAGGGGTGGGCAAAAGTAGGTTGATAGTTATTTGTATGGAAAAATAATACAACAAATAATAAATAATAATATGAGAATAAACTCTGTGGTTTGCATACTCACAACTGTAAACCTACCTCTTTTGCCCTTCCCTGTATGGGGTTCAGTACTGTCTGTGGTTTCAGGAACCCACTGGGGTCTTGGGATGTATCCACCATGGACTGTACTTAAATCATGGCTGGAGAGCAGGGTGGCAAATTGATCTGTGCCAGTTTATCCTCGCAGAACTCGCAAGTTCCTATAGCTGACAGTGGTAGCCACTGGCATACTTGAATGGTCGTGGATTAACTACTCTCCCATGGCCTCACCGTTAGGTTATCACCAGTCTCAGGCCAAAATCTGCCACACATGAAGGCTTGTTAAATAAGCATTCACTAGCAGGCAAGCATAAGACAGCCCGTGCAGCTTGCTCCGGAAGCTGATGAAGTCCTGGCTCTCTGCTCACTTAGCTACTGCAGCTACTCCCTAAATGAAAGGTTCACTGGAGGAAGGTCAGAGGACATTCTAGATAGTGAGTCTCAAACTTCTTCAGGCATCAGAATCCCCAGGTGGGTTTGTTAAGACACAGGTGCTGTGCCCTGCGTGCAGAGCTTCTGATTCAGTGGGCACCACACCTTGAGATCAGTGATCTAGAGGCAGGTTTTGTTTTTCTTTCCAAAATTGGCATCAGGCAACTAGCTGTTTACTCACCAATGGCTGGACCCAGGGCCATTTCGAGAGTTAATCTAGAATCTAGAGGGCCAACCCTTGGAGTATAGATGACAGAACATTCTAGATTCTTTTACCTAAAAGGCATAAGAACAGAAAATGTCTCTAAAAGGTTTTAGAGAATACCATTAATGTCATCAGTGAAATTAGCAAAGCCGGTGGCATTGCTCCAGCTCTGGGTAACTGAAGTACACAGGGAGAGCTGGAATGTGGCCTCACGGACCCGGTGACAGCTGACTACCCCATCGTGTGAATTCCTGGATAGGACACCTGGGATATAACTTAAATTAGCATGTGTGCCTAATATCGCCTGTCCAAGTTGAACATTTTAGAGTACATTACAGGCAGCATTAATGGAAAGGAAAGTTAATTAACAAATCAACGGGCATTTGTTTGATCCCACAGACAGAGCCTGAAATCATAGAGGAAACCAACATTGACCGGGTTAATGAGCCCCGCGGCTACGCCAGGTCGAGGCAGGCGAAAGGCCACTCCGAGACCTCCACGCTGAGCTCGCAGCCCTCCATCGACGAGGTCAGGCAACAGATGCACATGCTGCTGGAGGAGGCCTTCAGCCTGGCGTCCGCGGGCCACGCAGGCCAAAGCCGGCACCAGGAGGCCTACGGCTCAACACAGCATCTGCCCTACTCTGAGGTGGTGACCAGCGCTCCGGGGACCATGACGCGGCCCAGGGCTGGGGTGCAGTGGGTGCCCACCTACCGTCCAGAAATGTACCAGTACAGCCTGCCCCGGCCGGTAAGTCAGACTTCCTACCTGCCTGCTATTATCAGCTCAGTTCTGCCCATGGTGTTCTAACAGGGGTCTCAGGGAAGGGACTTCTAGTGACAAGTCACCTTGGGATTTGGAGGCAGAACTCTGCCAAGCTCTCATCCCATCCTCTACCCATGATCCAAGCCTTAGCTTTTTAGCCCTGTGGGCACAGGCACACAGGAAGCCCTTATGGAGTACATTCCAGGATGAATTTCCTTCCTATTATCCCTCCTGTGGAGGGCTGACCTCATTCTTCATGCACGGGTGGTTTTCTGCATTTCCAAGTGTGAAGACCTGTTTTAAATGTCAAAATGCAGAGCTGGTTCAGAGCAGGCGCTTTGGAGTGGGTGGCTTGACTTGGAGTCCCAGCCCCACCATTCATGGCCTCTGTCACTTGGGGGCATGACTTAAATTCTCTACAGCTGAAATCAACAAATAAAAATAACCTACTTCCTAGGGTTATTGTAAAGATCAAACAAGTCGATATATGTGAGGTACTAGATTGCCAGGCACACAGTAAATGCTATAGAAGTCTCAGTCACAGTTATTTCGTTTAGTGGCAACTGCATGCACTGCAGTATTGAGAAAGCACCCAATGACAAAAAGCTTCCATGATTTAAACAGTTTTAATTGGTTTGCATTTTGTTCATTATCACAGCATCTACACATACTTTTTTTTGAAAAACAGACTTAGTTTTATAAACCATAGACTGTAATAGACAATGCTTTGTACATGTATAGATTCCACCTTTGTAATATGTGATAGCGTGTCCCCAACGGTTACTCATTAATAGGGTTTTATAAATTGTCATTGTGATACGTAATTACATAATGAAAGCTACCATTTATTGAGTGTTTCACTGATACTAGGTACTGATCTAGGTGTCATGTGTATGTTAACTCATTTATTTCATTCTGATTACAAGCCTCTGACATAGGTACTAGTTTTATCCCTGTTTGACAGATGAAGAAGCTGAGGTTACACAGCTTGTTCAGGTCACACAGCCTGAAAGAGGCAGAGCTGGGGCCGCAGGCCAAGCAGTCTGGTGCCAGAGCCCATGTCCTTAACCACTGTGCTTAGAAAAGCCTTGCGTTGATTCCATTGTGATCCCTCTTATTGGGGACACCGAGGCTCGTGGAGCCTTGTGATAACATCAAACCACCTTAACACCTACCTGAAGTCCACACTGCGCTGGCATTTAATAAATTGCTATTATGCTGTGTAACTACATAGTCTGCACACTATTGTGAATTTTCTTATTGTGTTCCTTTGTTCCAGTTCCGCCTCCTCACTCCCAGATCACTGAGATGTCTTCCCTTGACACTGCTCCTAATGTCCTCTGTCTCTCTTTCTTTTTGTCATGCCCTCTCTTAGAATGTCATCCTCTAGCCTAATATTTTCATGTTGACTAAGCTTTAGCAGGAGAGACCAAAGTTTATTTGCAGTTGAACCTCTGGGACACAGGTGGCTGTGCTTGGATGGGTCAGCATCACTGCAGAGACTTGTCCTTAGGGGCAGCAGGTACACGGTTTCTATTTTGTCCATCTGCTCCAGGGTGATCAGATTCTGGAACTCTGACTCATGCCAGTTAAGCTCCGAACAACTGCTTTATTATTGACAATACCGACTCAGAAACCTGCAGTGAGAAGCCAGATAACCAGTTGGGCCAGAATACTTGTTTGCGGGTCAGCAAGGTCTTTCATTAAGTAAAAGCCAATTTGGGGAAAGTAAGACATTATCAGAAGAACTGGCTGGTCGCAAAGTCAACTTTCTCAGTCTGCGATATGCAGATCCAGAGAGTACAGTCAACAAAAGAAATAGGATGAACACGGGCCATCTTTTTTGCATCCCCTTTTCTGAGATTTGGGTGGAATAACGCAAAATTCTTCATATAATTTTGAAGCTACAACAGAAGGCTTTAGGGCAATGCACAGATATCAGGAATACACCATTGCCTCTGCTATCAGGGAACTTTGCTGGATACGTTCAAGGAGCATTGCCTTCAGGAAGTGTCCGCATCTGGGGCCACCACCGGCCATGGCAGTCCCATCAGTCTGGAGTCCAAATTCTTTCTTCAGAAAATTAAAAAAAATCTCACCGAACCTTATAAATTTACCACCTTAATATACTGTTCCATGACAGTCACATTACAGTTTTCTACTAATTGCCCATTAAATTAGTACCCACTTTTATGTGGGAAGAAGGGATTTTCTTGTTGAGATTTTTAGAAGACACTCTATAATCTTACCACACACAGGGTGGGACAAAAGTAGGTTTACAGTTGTGAGTATGTGAAACAGAGCTTATTCTTGTTATTATTTATTAATTATTGTATTGTTTTTCTGAACAAACAACTGTAAACCACCAACTGTAAGAGGCCTGAAGAGAGGAGGGGCTATAAACCCCTTTCTTTGTTTTGGGAAAGCTATGTTCTTACTTGTGGGTTTATTGATAATAATGGAATGCAAAACTGGAAGGACATCCAGGACAATTATTTTCAATTTCTCAGCAAAACCTGAGGGTTCAGGGTATGATCGCACAGGTAACTGAAGGGCCAAATTCATGAGAGCACTGCTCCCCTCCACCCCCACATACACACACCTCAGCAAACTAAAATAGAACCATGAGCTGAAACCAGAGTTGGAAATAATGAGTAGCAAGCAAATATGAAAGGTGGAATGGAGTCCTTGAAATTTCCCTTACATCTTGCAAATCCCGCTGTGCTTCAAAGGTATGTTTTATCCAGGATCTAGTTGTTATTTAGTGGGTTGGCCCTTATAAGTGTGTAGTGGTCATAATGCCGAAGGGAGAAGACTCATTCAGTTTAAAGAATCCTATTTATGGATTCCCTCTACTGCTGCTTTTTGTCATGATGCCTTCAGTTTTATTCTTGTCATCTTGTTCCCCAAGAGAGCTGGCAGGCCATGATACCTAAAGAAAAGGATGAATGAGAAGCACAAATTAAGCTTTGTCTTCCCAAAGAACATTTCTAGATTTTCTCATGCTAAGAAGGCTGTGGCCTGGCTCTCTGATCCTGTCCGTTGCTGACAATTGTCTTCTTATCTCCTCAAGTGTCGATTAAAGTCATTTTCATGACACTTCCAATCCTTTATCTTTGAATGGTGCTTTATAGATTGCAAGATACTTACACATACACCAACTTGCCTCATCTTCACAGTACCCCTCTGAGCAAGACATCTTTGTTCCATTTCAGAAGACGGCACTGAGGCCCTGAGAGGTCACCTGACTTGCTTAGGGACCTGAAGTCTGTTCATCAGCAAACCAGGCCCTCTACCCATACCTCCTGATTCCAGACACACTGCTTTCCCCCATTAAACTTTATTTCCATGGGTGAGAAAGTCAAATGCAATCAGTGGTTCGTTCGTTCATTCATTCATCTAATATTTATTGATCATCTTTGATACACTGGGCATTGTTCTAGGGACAAGGACATAGCTGGCAACAAAGTCCCTGCCCTCATTACAGTCTAAGCGGTGGCAGATAATAAATAAGCAATGTTCAGAGTACACCAGGGAAAAGGAGCAGCATGTACCAAAGCCCAAGCGGAAGGGAACTCGGCATATTCAGTTGCCAAGAACACCTTGGCAAAGAACAATTGAAGGGCTCTGTGACTACGGTGGCCTGAACAAAGGGGAGAGTGGTAGGAGATGAGATAGAAGAAGTGGGTGGGAAATGTGTAAGGAAGAGCTAGGGGGAAACTGAAGGAGGAAGGAGAGCCTGCCCTTTGGAAATTGGCTTCCCTTTTCAATAAGAACCTGTGTGTTGATCGACTCTGGGTTTTAGCAGATCTCCCTCCGTTTGCTTGTCTCTTTCACAGGCCTACAGGTTTTCCCAGCTTCCCGAAATGGTCATGGGCTCTCCCCCTCCGCCGGTACCTCCCCGGACTGGCCCTGTGGCTGTTGCATCTCTCAGGCGGTAACACATTCCTTTGCTTTGCTTTGTTTAGACTGTTTGGAAGGGATTTGGTCCTGTGTACCCTGACCTGACACACTTCCTTCCTTCCGTGCCCCACTCCGGGTGCATCACCTGCACAGACAACCTTATGCCTGGGGTGCCCCAAGTACCATGAAGGATGTGGGGGTCCAAGAGGGCTACCCGGCTTTTTGTCACTGTCAGTGGAAAGTCCTGGAGAACCCACAGTTGAAGAAACCCAGTGTCAATCACCCCATACATGGAAAGCCCCATTTTTGATCTTGACCATCTAAAAATTACTCCAGCTTGAGCCACCACAGCGGCTACCTCAAGTCTGAGCACCTCCTGTCACGTCTGCACATCCAGAAGTCCCTTTGTTATTAGAAGTGACGTCCAGGAGGCCAGGGAGCAGTGTATCTCAGCACCCACCCCAACTTGTGACTTCCAAAAGGGAGAGGCTGAAAGCACGTGAACTCAGATATGTCCATTGCAAAGCATATGTCAAGCATCCTTTTTACTCTGTAGTATAAAAAGCACATGTTTTTAATAAAGATAGACAAGAAACACAAAGGCCATGAGCCCTGGGAGAGATTGAAAGAGTCATCTTGTGCAGGGCTAGGAGGAACATCTGGTCCCGGGGGTACGTACAGGCCACCGCCCTTGCTTTCGTACCTTTAGTCACACCCTCTCTGTGAACCATGGGTTTGAATTTTGTGAAAGCAGTGGAGAAACGACTTCCCCTCAGAAACAGCACTGCCCTCATTGGCAGCAGTTTGGAGTGCCCAGCTGTGTGTAGATACCATCCCTTGACCCCCAGACGAGCTCAGAGTGGGGCGAGAAGCAGCAGACCAGGGTTCCACCTACCTGCCAGTAACCTGCTGTGGAACTCCAGGCCAAGTTGCTTCACCTGTCCGGTCCCTGGTTCCTTGTCTGTAAAATGAGGGCAATAACCTAAACCATCTCAGAGGCTCTGGGAATCCTCAAAGGGGACTGAATGTATGGTGCGGAACCCAGGAATTCTTCTGGGAAGGGTTTTCTGAAGGAGTAGCGGATGCCAGAGCAGTATGAGGAGAGCCAAGGCCGTGGGAGTGAGCAGACCAGAGAAGGAGGGAGGGACTGAGAAAGAAAGGGAGCCCCCCCCACCCCGCACCCTCCCCCAGGCCCACACCGCTGAGCCTCCTGTGCGCACCGGATTCAGCCAAATCACCACAGCCTCTGTGTTTAACCCTCCCCGGGGAGAATAGTACGGGCTTCTCAGTTACTCCTGAGGGTTCTGGCTGGGAAGAGCTCCATATCCACCATTTGTGGTAGGTTAGCCCAACGCCAGTGTCTATTTCATTTCTTCTCTCAACCACCAGTCTCCCCGCATGTCCTTCTGCACCGTCTGCCATCCTTGCCAAATTACCAGGTCACTGCCCCCTCTACAAACCCAGAGGTTTACACCCCTTCTTTGAGGGTGGCCCCATGGCTGGCAGCCTGCCACCTGCTGTGGCTGCCTTGCCTCCCTGCCATTTTAATTTTAGGGCAGCCTGGAGTCTCTCTGTGAAAAGGAAGAGTCTCTGGCTAAGGCGCTGTTCCAGTTAAGGGGAGAGGCGGCCGCCGCGCCCGGGCTCTCCTCTTCTCCCAGGGCTCTCTGAGCACCAAGTGGAAATGAGGTGTGTTCAATGGGCAGATCCTCTGCTTGCCTGGGACCAAAGGAAAAAGAAAAGTGTTCTCATTCATAATGCCTAGGAAATGCTGAAGCGCTAGGCTCCTGAGCCTGGAGCTTCCCAGAGCCTCGGGCTCCTTGCTTCCCGCCAGACTGACGGAGTCCTCGCTCTCAGGTCCCCCCTTCCCCCGCCCCCCACCCGTCACCTGTCCTGGTGTCGGGAGGGGGGAGCGTCCTCGCACTCCAGGCGGAGTCTTCTCATTGGCTGCCGATGATGTCATCACCTCCCAGGTCGACCATCCCCAGCTAATACCCAGCGCTAATTGCTTGGCTTAATTTTCTGTGTAAATTAAGTATTATACTCCCCAAAGACACAAAAGCCACCCTCAGGGAGGCAGCGACCTTGAATAGCTAAAAATGTCTCCATCTCGGGCGCCTCGATCGTTGTTACTGGTCTGGGCGCTTTGGCCCCCTTTGTTATTTGGGGGCAAATCCAGAGCGGAGGACCCCACCGCGGCCCCCAAGGCGACGGCCCGGCCCCGGGAAGCGGCTAACGTAGCCCTCTGCCTGCTCAGGTCCACCTCGGACGTCGGCAGCAAGACCAGGATAGCTGAGTCCTCGGGGCCCGAGCCAGCCCAGCTACACGACAGCCCCTCCTTCGCGCACGTGTCCAGAGGCCCCGTGTCCGTGGCGCAGTTGGATCAGTCGGCTTTAAATTACTCAGGTGGGCAAGAGGAGAACGGGCACGGCTCGGACCGCGCCGCCCTAGATCCGCACTCCTCCTTCTACCTGCCGCCCTCAAGACTCCCAGCGGCTATATTACTGGAGAGCTACTGCTTTTACTTCTTAAAAAGATCTGAGATCTGACAAAATATTAAGATATGCTACAGTCAGGATATATGTTAACATTTTGCCAGATTTTAGGATTTTTTAAATTATTATATATTTTTAAAGTGTTATAGATATAAGCATCCACCCCTCTATCCACACCTCATACCCCTTCTCCCTGGAGGTAATCACAGTCCATAAGCCCTGGGTGTTAACCTTTTGCTCCATAGGTATGTATATATTACAGTATCTATCAGTGATCTTCAGCCTTTTTCATCTCACGGCACACATAAGCTCATTACTAAAATTCTACAGCAAACTCAAAAATAAATTTTTTGCCGATCTGACAAAAAAATAGGTGTAATTTTGATTTATTTACACCGATGGCTGCTGTTGTGTTGGCTGTTGTCATTTTTTTATTTCACAATTTAAGGGAAAAAAGGTCAGTGCCCCTGAACAAATAGTCAGGGATTGCATGTTTTAAAAATTCTTGTGGCACACCTGTTGAAAATTGCTGGTGTATATTAATGTTTTATATGTTTTCCATCTACATAAGTCATATAAAGCTATATATTTCCTTTTGCACTTCATTTTCTCAACTCAACATTGTTTCTAAGATTCCTTCCAGTTGCTGGATGCATATAGGTCTAGCTCATTCATTTAGACTGCCATGTGGTATTCTATTATATGATGTGCTGCAGCTTATCCTTTCTCCTAGTGAGGGGCATATGGTTTGTTTCCAGTTGTTTATTATTACAAACAATACTGAAATGAACATGGAGGTCTGTGCATGCCCTGATTGGTGTTTTAGTGTATTCAAACCTTACCTTTTAAACGAAAACTGCAAGCACCAGTTGGAAATGTCACCAGCAGAATCCATTCCTTTTGGCTCCTTTTCTTAGCTCTTTAAAAATCCTCCTGGGAGGAAAACACCTGGACACTGAGGTGTCCGTTCCTCTTGTCAGCAGGTCTGAACTTTTGGGATGGGGATGAGGGACTTGGTGAGGGCTCAGGGAGGGGAGCTCTGCGGTCCTTTCTCTAGAAAGACAGGTCTGAGTTCTAGCAGTTCAAGCCTTTCATACTGACTGGGCGGGTGAACAAGGCCGGGGCTACAGGTGGAGGTCTGCGGCCCCCGCATTACCAACTGCCCCAGTGCCAGAGTCCCCCGCCCTGCCCCCCCGCCCCCCCCCGTCCGTCCCCCCCCCCCCCGCCTTGTTTCCCAGCTTCCCCAGCTTGTGCAAATGTCCGCCTAGTGGCTGGGGTGTAGCCTAACCTCTCCCATCCACCTCCTCCATGCCAGGTAATACGGTGCCGGCAGTGTTTGCCATCCCAGCTGCCAACAGGCCGGGCTTCACCGGCTACTTCATCCCGACGCCACCCTCGTCCTACAGGAACCAGGCCTGGATGTCCTACGCTGGAGAGAATGAGCTCCCAAGCCAGTGGGCCGATTCGGTGAGACCCTTGTTTGACACACTTCAGGGAAAAAAGGGACGAGAGGCTGAGACTGAGTGTTTCGTTATCTCAGCCCCGCTTCCACCAACCAGATGGCCGAAGTCAGCCATTTGAAAGGAGACACGTGGTAGGATGGTTGTTCTTTGACAGAGGAACTGGAGACCTGCCGGGTTCTACCTCTTCCTAGCAGGGCAGCCTTAATCAAATAACCTTTCATAATTACTGCCATTTGGGGGGTATTTTCTATGTGCTAGACACCATGTCAGATATTTTATTTATATGGTCTTATTTAATCTCCACAACCATCCTGTCAGGTAGGTATTCCCCTCATGTGCCCCATTTTGCCGATGAGCACACTGAGGCCTAATCTGAAGCCACACAGCTTTTGTAGGTGTGAAGGCCAAAATTCAAACCTGCATCTGTCTGGCTGTAAAGCGTTTTTAAATTTGTTCCTCTTAGCTTTAAAATTCTGTAAAACTTGTAGATGAAATATCAGAAGAATGAAGTATTAGGACCTCAAGACTGAATTACTTCATATGTACCTCCTAAGGCTTTCTGCCTGACTTTCAGCAGAAGACTGATTATCATCATCCCGTGGTTTCTTCCGTCATTGAACTAGGAGTACATGGCGCAGTGGACCTGGCCCAGCCGTACTAGAGAGGGGAGCAACCAGATGAATCTGGATGTTCACAACCAACCCTGCCGCTGAGTCACCTGTCAAGGGCTACCAAGTGAAAACACACAGACACACAAAGTAGCACATTGATGGCCCCTAGAAGGGGTTGCCCCAATGCCTGTGTGAGATCATCTGACATGTGGAAGAAAGGCAGGCTGTCGCTCCAGGCTGAACCCGAGGGCCCCCCATCCTGCAGGTCATTTTAGGGTTTGGTCCCAGCATTTGAAATCCATTCTAGATTTAAGAGAAATGTTGACACCCAAGGCCTGTGTCCTCTTTCCTCTGCCTCAACTCCTGGAGTCCGTATGTTCCGCCCCTACAGCTTCAGCGCAACCTCAGTGTTAGTGTCTATTCTTACTGGAGTTGATGTCCCATCGAAATAACATCACCAGGGTGGAGTTACTCTGCACATGCTAATTTTCCTGATGATCAAAGCTTTCCCTTTCGATTTCTAAAATATTTTAAAATATATGCCATCTTTAAAAGAGGAACATAATTTAATTTTTCTTTAGCAAATGATTCAGCATCATTATTTTACTAAAAGGACATTTGTAAAATGGTCTCTGATGGTTTGCAGGATCCTTGCCCCCATCAGATTATCTCCAAAGTACTGTAGCTTTTTTGTTATAGAACTTCTTTCTGTTCGCTGGATTCTGCTTATATTAAAAAGGTAGCCAAGTAGCTGCAAATGTAGACTCAGGTATATTCCCACCAGCATATCCAGTGAGTTCAAATTGCCTGTTTTCTAACCAGTCTGACTCCAGGTTTTGTATCTGTACAACGGTACGTGGCCTCTGTTTTCTTCTGAATCTCTTTCCTTGCCCTCACTCCCCTCCTGCTGCCAGGATCAGGCGTAGCCTATGACTCGAGCCCCTTCCTAATCCCAGGCGCCTCTCCTCTCTCCCCTTGCTCTCTGCAGGTCCCCCTCCCAGGGTACATAGAGGCCTACCCCCGGTCGCGTTATCAGCAGAACTCTCCCTCCAGGCTCCCTCGCCAGTACAGCCAGCCGGCTGGCATGCACCCCAGCTTGGAGCAGGCCCCTGTGCCCTCCACGGCAGCCTCCCAGCAGAGCCTGGCAGACAATGACCCGTCCGACACACCCCTGACCAACATCTCCACAGCAGCGCTTGTGAAGGCCATCCGGGAAGAGGTGGCCAAGCTGGCCAAGAAACAGACGGACATGTTTGAGTTCCAGGTCTAATGCCTTAGCCCCATGGGACTTCCAGACTCTGAGGAAATAGTCTTCGGGTTTCTCAAGCCTCATGTGTTGGAACTTGAGGCATAGACAATGGGTGAGTCTTTCTCATCCTTAGTTTCTGCAAAGGTGAACAGTGGGGCTTCTGGGAAACAGAGGAAACTCTGGAATGACTGGATCCTCAGCTTATTCAACTGATTGTATGTCAAGAAGTCCCTGCTTGGGACCGTATGCTTGATATTCTGTTATATTAAATGTTTGAACTGTGGGTACATTTCCCTATGGAGCCTTAGTCACGAGAGACACTAGCTAATCTACAGATTCCTGTCCAATGCCACATTTCAGTAAATCACCAGGAGGAGGAGGACATAGCTCTGTCTTTGGTGACCCCTGCATGTTAACTCTGTCTCTGTGTTAAAGGCAATGCAGGCGTGTGATTAAGCACCAGACTGTACTCTCTCTCATTCAGCCATGACTGTAATTGTTAAAATCACCTCCAGTCTGTAAGGGAGGCACGGACTCCAGCCAAGAAACTTGAGTCCTTTTCTTTTTAAAGATTCATATTCAAAGTCAGATGCATCGGATGAAAGTCAGCGCTATCGATGACTGTACCTATAAATAGTCCTGATCTCCCCCCACCTCCATTAATTAAACAAAGGCCAAGAAAGAGAGAAGATGAGAGGGAAGGATTGATTTGTGTTGACAGGTTTTTGAAAAGGTATTGCTTTACGGGAACTGGAGAACCCTGCAAGTTGGGGTGTAACTGAAAGAGCAGCGGCGCTAAGGGCATTTAGGATCTTGCAGAAGAAGAACACTTGGAGCTTTCTCTTTGCCCTGCAGTGAAGGTGGCCTGGAAATGAAGCTTCTCTCTCTTTCGGGATAACAGATTCATTGACTTTTACGAGAAAATCTCTGTCTCTTCAACAGTGATGTCCAGCCTGGGCTGCCAAGTGATACAAAAGGAACTAGTCATTGATGACTGCCAGAGGCAGGAGTAGTGGATCCACAGTCTCCCCAGCCTGCAGCCTCTGTTTATAGAAGCTTCTGAATGTAGAAAATCTGTTGAATTACATTTAAATGTAAATAACATTTTAAAAAGTGTATGGAGTTAGCCAGTCCCCTCTCTCCCCAACCCCCTATGGTTAATGGACAGTAGAGGACATTTGCTGAAATGGCAGGACGGCCGACCTTGTGAGGGTGGCATGGCAGATCACCCCCACCCCCGCCAAGGCGAGTCAGCCTCCAGAGCTCTGGGTGGGCAGTGTCTCCCGGCCCTGAGGTACCTGCCACAGGTGCCTGTCAGCGCAAAGCAAAACCCTGCTGACTGCAGGTGGCCTTGGGGAGAAGACACTGGTCCCTTCACCAACTTTGGGAGCCACGCACGACGATGAGGGCTCACTTGGCGTCTGTTGGAGAACGAGGCCCCGCCCTGCCTTCCCCCAAGATCATTCTCGCTTCAGCTGTTTCCATCCCCTGAGCCCATCTTTCCATTCTCATGAGTTTCTTTGGTCTTTACTGAGAGAAGGTGGAAAGTGAAAGGTTGAGAGAAGAGTAGGAGTGAAACTGATTAGAATGGGAGATTTGAGGTCAAAGCACAGACTTTTCAAAGAAGCTGTTTTTATTTCCCAATGGCAAATTGCTCTTTCTGAGATGTTGTGTCATGGAATCCCCAAACAAGTCTCTTGTTCGGATGATATTAGGTAGTGTCTTTTGGTATGCTGATTGATCTTTCATAGTGTTAGATTTTTGTTACTTCAAAAAAAATCAGCTATAAATAAAATGTATTTTTGTAATTTCCACGTGTATATATGGTATATTTCTACCAATGGCCAGTTGTTGTAATCCAAAACCTAAATCAGCTTGCAAAACACTGTGGACAGTGCAAGATTTTATCAACAGATTAACACAATGCCTAAGTCTATCCAAATTGGTATTCAATGCACTTGAATGAACAAAGAGCCAAAGAAACTCAGCCTTTCCATGCAAATGGTATGAGTCTGATAAAGTCAGCTACATTGTCCCGCCTTATCAATAATATTAATATTTCATCAGTGCAATGACATTCAACCCAGTACTTTGTCTACTTGGTAAATGCCTGGAAATATTGTATGTGAAAATGAAGTTTTAAGACCTTAGTGTAATTAAAATATATGCACATGCTTCCAAGACAGTGTCTGAGCTTTGGATGTGCCAGTAACTGACGGAGAGTGAGCCAGCAGCCCCGGCTCGCTAAGAGGATGGAGAAGGAAACCGCTGTGCTCTTTACAGAGCCCCGTGAAACACTGAGGGAGCCAACTGAGATGACTAAAAATATAGCATGCTTAATCAGACACGCCCTCAAACTAGACACCACCAGTTTAAGAAAGTATGTGGGAGGAAAACTTTAAATTGATGAGGTCAATCTGTTCGTGTTTCCCCATCAATGGGGAGACGGATGCCACTGTTTGATATTCTGTGACTAAGATGTGGTCCCTTCTCTGAAGAGTCTCCTGACCTCATGGAGGTGGCAGATACGTGGACAGCTGGCTCAGAGAAAAGGCAAATGGTCAAAAGTGCCTCGTGGAAGTTAAAATAAAGTTCCATGAGAGCTCAGGGGCTTTGTGTTCCTCATGACCCTCCAGGCAGTTGAAGAAGCCACAAGGACCTAGATGGCCTTGGAGAAGGAAGCCAAAGTCCCGAAAAGGGGACTGACCTGCCCGGGAATTCCAGCCCAAGCCTGCTGATGGAGGGGCCAGCTTGCTTTCCGTGCCACCATGCCGCCTGCACACGTGTCTGGTGTTTGAACTATGCTAGGAAGTTTAAAGAGCAGACACGGGTCATATGAGACATTCCCTACGTTCTTGTGAAGAAAAAAGATGGTAGAGTAGGTAAAGAACTTCAGATAAGTGTACAGAGGACAATGATTTGTGGCATAATAAACATTCTTGGAACTCTTGTAGTTTTGATGTGAGTTTTCTGCATTCTGAAAAGAAATGCATTTTGGCCTTTTCTAGAGAGTGCCATCAAGGAAATGATGTTCTCAACTGATGTTCAAACTAGGGGTGTATTCCTGTCTTAATGCCCTGGATCCAAACAGGCAGGCAGGGTGGCCATGACAGCTTGTCACTGTGAGGTAGTAGATTCCGTGCCCTGTGTCGGGGAGGCAATCCGGGGTGCAGGAGAAAGTCTGTTGTGCTCCCTGGTACCTGTGACCTGAAATGGTAGTGTTACCTGTGGAGCAGGAAGTTGCCTCTTTTGTCTTGTGCTATGGACTGAACCTTTGTGTCCCATCCCACGAATTCATATGTTGAAATCCTAACCCCCAGGTGTGACGGTATTAGGAGGCAGAGCCTTGAGAGGTACTCAGGTCATGAGGGCGGAGCCCACATCAATGGGATTAGAGCCCTTATAAAAGAGATGCCCCTCCCCACAGAAAGCTCTCTTGCTCTCTTTTAGAAATAAATTTCTGTGGTATATAAGCCACCCAGTCTATGGTACTTTGTTATGGCAGCCTGAGCGGACTAAAATAGGTGGATTATGTAAGAATCTATTCTCTGGACTCTAGACCCAGGAGAAGTTATATGGTACATTTGTTAATTTAAGAATTCAGCAGAAGGACATATAATTTCTGGGCATTCTTGATGGAAGAACGGATAAGAAATGTTTAGATTTGTGATTAAAAATATAAACTTAGAGAAAATACAGATGGAAGAGGAGAGGAATTTACATACCTGACTAAAGGAAACGCTTCTCTAACAGGCCAACATGAGGGACATGGATCGAAAGATTTAAATTTTGATTACAGATTAATAAGCTGCTTTTTGCCCCCTACATAGCACATAGGAACTCAATGTTTAACGAATAAAATAACAGATTTTAGCTTAAAAGTTTGAGAACAGAATATAAACTTAATCCATTCCTTCTGCCACACACCAGAAAATAGTTTGGACTTTCCTTACCAAATACAGCCAAGCACTCTTAGGGAAAGACAGTAATTTAGCTTGGAGCAGTGACCAATCAGGATGCAAGTATTAGAGATTAAATTCTGCCTCTGAGTGGATCATACAGGTATTGTAGTCAAGGAACTTTGCAAGGACTAGAAACCCATTCACACTTGGTGATTCACACTTTCAGGGGCTGCCCGAAGGTACAGGGCCATTTCATAGAAACAGACACAACTCCCGTGTGGGAAAGAGACAGAGACAGTGTCTTCTCTCTCGCTGTCATGTGCTCTCCATGTATGGGCCCTCATCTCTCTCTCTCTGCCTCTCTGCTCAGTTCTCTTGCTTCCCTTGGCCTGCCAGCTTTCTGTCTTTTCACTGGTGGATGTACAGATGAAAATCCACCCTCAGCCCTGCTCCACGCAGTCATTCCTCTTCAGTAGCCATCTCTCTGACTACCATCTCTGTGCCCTCGGGAAAATTCGCTAGAGTCTCATTGATCCAGTTCATCTACCTATGGATCAGACCCCCTTGGGTCAGGTGTCTGTCCAATCAGCTATAACCAAGGAGAGCAGGGTCTTGTAATACGAGCGTGGCCCCCTGGGCCAGCCCTGTCAATGAGGGCTTTTGCTGGGAGCTTGTACCCAGACGAGGGAGAATGAGTAGAAAGGACCTTCAAAAGGAACCTGCTGGGGACTGGAATGGACCAGTACTCCTAAGATGCCAGCCAGCACGTGAGCAGTCCCTTCGGATACTGGGATACTGCCGCAGAGAGGAGAAGGCATCCTTGACTTGCGCATCAATGAAGAATGCACGAGCTTGAAACCTTGGCACACTGGCCAGACCCCCCGCCCCCCAACCACTTACCACTCACCACCAGTGCTATTGATACTACTGCTGGGTCTAAGAAGTGATTTCGGACCAAGGCCCAGTCAGCAAGGTCTTGCTCAGCAGACGATAAATACTTGTAAATTGAAATGCATGATCTCAGCTCAGGTGCTATTAACACGGCTCAGGGCCACAGACCTGCATGGATGAGAAAACCCGTGAGCCTCTCAACAGAGTCTTTGGAAACAAAATTGGTTTCAAGAGAAATTGTTATTCTAGTGGCTCTGCCCTTCCAAATATAATAAGTTAGTGTCTCCTAGAATTGAAAGGTCTCTCGATTTCTTCAGGTGAACTGTTACAGAATCCTAGCCTTTGCTAAGTGCTAACATGTAGAATGTTTCTGGAAAGGAATATTTATGAAATAGAATGAATAGAGCCAGAAACAAGTTTGAGGTCATTAAGTTGCTTTGATTATGCAAGTCTCAAAAATAGAGAAATTTGGGAAGTGGCACAATTTGTTTCCATCGGTCAAACCCACAGTTCAGTGAAAGCCATTATACAATGAAATCTAGACATTGATTATTTTTATTCTCTGACTTTGGCCAGACTTTCGTAATCTATGGGGGGAGGCCATCAGTATATTTTACATAAAATTAACCATGGCCTCACCTTATTTCCCCCCATCGGTACCTGATATCTAAAGTCACCCTCAACCCATACACAAAACGAGAGAAGGTTTGTAGCAAACAATCAGAGGAGTATCATTGATCTGGAAATGTTGAAAAAGGCATCACAGATGATCAAGGCCTTGGTGAACTCACTATAAATCAGTTTCTGATTCCTTATCTGTGAAATGGGCGTAACAACGTCAGCACTTCCTACCTCCAGTGGTGCTTAATAAGGAGCGTGTGGCATAATGTATGTAAAAATGCTTTGAAAAGTGTATTCTTACTAAAATATTAGCTTCATAATTCAGTTTTATCAAGCAAAATATGTTAGCTCCTTTCAGCCACTGAACTAATTTGTCACATGTTCTATAAAATTTTTAAATTTTATATTCTATTAAAAAAAAAAAAAAAAGACATTCCTAACTTTGGAAGTGCCCTGAAAAGCCAGCCTCACCTGGAGCTGTATTTTGTTGTTGTCTGTGATTTGAAGGATATGTAAGTACTTGTGCGTGGGCTTCTGGGTGGAAAACCCAGACTGGCGACTCTACCAACCACATGAGACACATTGGGCAAAGACAAGTACTGAACAGGAGCTTTGACTGTAGCTGTTGTCATTAAAGGCTTTGCTTTCTAATTAACTTTGTACGTCCTTGGCCTCTGCCGGGAACAGAGTGTTCTTATGCTGTCAGGATTTTTTATTGTAAAATAAAATGGCAAAGGCTTTCATACCCCAACACCTGCCTGCTTCTCATTCTGCCTCCGCCAAATGGTGAAATAAAATCCCCTTCACAACCCAGCTGTGCAGCAGGGCCGGCTGGGTGTTGGTAAAGAACACCTACAGGCCTGGCAGACCCCGTGTGGTCTCTGAAGCCCTCTCAGCCTGGGACATGAGCCAGCTGGCCAAAAAGAGGTCACCCCTGGCCACCCACAGGTCCCAAAGAAGCAGCCTATCCATAACTGTATTCTCGGGGAAGAAAAAGCCAGTGTCTGCCCACGTGCCTTTCTCAGAGCATAAAGAAGTCCCATCCAAGTTAGTGGCTCCCAAGGAGTCCAGGGATGATATGGTATGGGACTACCATAGCCCAAGACTACCTACCTCTCCCATGCAGTGCTGCTTCCAGCAATCACGACACCTGCCTTATGCTCAGCCCTATCCAGGGGGCATGTGTTATACCATATGCTCAGCCTCTGGCCTAAGCTGAGTGGGCAGGAGACACATCCGACCCAAGAGCTACACACATTCATAGGCTGACCAGCCACAGAAAAATGGGGCTCAGCACATAGGGCTAGGCCAACCGGCTTCTCTCGGTAGGAAATGCCAAGAAACTGAGTCTCTTAGAAGTAGATGTTGGAATTGAATGGTCTGGACTCCGAGAGGCCATGATGGACCTCATCCAAAGGAAAGGTCTAAGGAAGCAGAATATTGAGTAAGACATCGCCTGGAGGCCAAGGAGATTTCAAGTAGAGGAAAAGGGGCCCCATTTCCTCTAACAAAAACAGACCAAAAAAACCAAACAGACCTCAACTCAGTGCTTCTCAAGAGGCCCTGTGCCCTGATGGAGAGCCACATCCTGTGGCTTTTGTGGCTCCTTTGAGACTTGGGCAGCAATGAAGTGGTTAGTGTTTCTCACCAGAGCTTAATCTACCAAAGCCCTCTGCAGTGCTTACAAAAGTACTCAGAGACTGTAGGAGCAATTTTGTACGCCTCTGTAAAGAGGGCTCAGATAGATACAAAACAACTCCCCCAGAAGCCACTGTCTTGCTGCACTGATGAGGAATCAACTTGGAGACTCCACAAAATGCTTTTGTGGGTCTCCCAATGGGGCAGAGATCATTGCAGAGAATAGGGCCAGTGGGCCCAGTAACTAAGGGGTTCCCTGCTCCTCCATTTCCTTTTTCTTTCCTCCTGGACCCTGGCTGCTCTTATTTTTCAGGACAAACGAAATGATCAAGGGAAAGGAAGTGGTGCTGTTTACTTCAGCCCCAGGAGTGGCAGGCACACACAGACTGGAAGCTGGAAGCCCCAGCCTCTCCTTGCTGCATCCCATTAAGAAAGAGGAGAGCAAACTACTCCAAAGCCTGACCTCTGGACTTCTCTGAGTAAATGTCCTGCATCCAGCTCATGAGCTCTGCTGGCTACCGGAAGTCAGAAAGAACGTGCCTAGGAAGGAGTGTGGACCCAAGTAATGGAAACATTAGTGAGGGTGATGGCGATGGTCCGTCACCTACGAAATGTACACAGATGGTTAGTAGGAAACACAATTGCTTTGAATCTCTCTATGACCTCTTGGAGGTACAGTTATGACAGTTACGGTACCTCCAACGCTGGTTTGCACAGTTGGGCACGTCATCTTACCAACATTTCAGTGTCCGTGTTTACATGTGGATAAGCCCACATTTAAGGAGAAGCCATCTGACGCCTTGGACCTGAAATAAAGTTTTGTTAGCATGACCGTTTCACCACCAACCTCAAGCCTAAGAG